AGTGCAGCACATCAGCTGACAAGGAAGCAAAAAACTTGCCGCCTTCGAAACAGGCTGATGTCTCACTAACTTTGTCGACCGGGAGTGGTCTAANNNNTGCGTCAGGACCATGTTAGGGCAGTCCAGCATACGAAGAGTCATCACTTTTTCGGCTACCGAAACCTTTTTGGGTCATGTGACGCACTGAGCCCAAACCAAAATTGGTATTTGACCCATTAAGCTGCCTACTGTATGCGAAAAAATGACTGCATATGTGAATAAAACGAACGTTATTTTCAACTTGTTTTGCTTGCTGGCCACTACCACTCACCCTTCTCGGTTATTTAGACACCCATTTAAATCAGTAAAGCAGGGACAGGGCCAATTCTTGGAAGAGCGACTGCCGTCATAATCTCCTAAATTTCGCTGCTGACCAATCAGGCTAATTTTAGAATAGTCCGACCCAAGCTGGACGCACTGGAATGACCTCAAGCGTTTGCTTGCGAGATTCTTCTACGTAATCTCTGTTTGGAGGTTTGTGGCGTCCTGCTAAGGTCAAAGAGTCATGAGCTCCATAGGGATATGTATGCCTGCTCTCCCATGCCATAACCGCAAATCCTGATCACGCTCAGATTTTAGACATTTTGCAATCTGCTAAAAGGGTGACCCTCAGTAGGTTGCTTGTGCTGGCGGTCCTCAGAGGAAAGCATACCCTTGTCCTTATTGCTTCATGTATTTGCCGGCCTATCTCCGACGGAGTATCCTTTGTAGCTGTTTATCGTTTCTATCGTTGGCAGTAATATCCAAGTCTAGTATCCCCTTTGATCTCCTTTAGATTTAAACCAGGAACTCGTTGTTCGGCGATTACCAACCACCAACGAAGCTACCTCCGTTGAGCCGGTTATGGATGACCCAGAGAAGGTTTCCAAGAGTAAGTCATAAAGTGCCTAGTCACTAGGCCCTAGTGTATTAAATTCATCTCAGAAAAAACCAATCACCACCTCTTTTGTCTGCTTCTCCATTTCGCAAGTGACTAGAGCATTCTTTATAATCTCCTTCCTTGAACGAATGAGTTACCATAACCTACTACCTTCTCTCCCCTCCCCTGCATTAGTATGTGGCGTAACTGTCTGACCGTCATGTCCGATGATATCCACCGTTGT